TCAATGGACCTCCACAGACATCTGTAGACATTTATCGACATCCGTTAATATCTATAGATATCCAAAGATCATTGCACGTTTGGGTGCGGTTAGACATTTATGGACATTCACGAGCATACAAACAATCAAAGGCGTCTGTAGAGATTCAAGATTATCTGAAAATATACGTAGACATTTACGGATATCTGTGGACATTCAAGGATATTTCTGGACTTTAAGATGTAGATATCTACAGACATCTGTACATATATCCATTAGGGTGGTCCAAAAAAAAAGATTTTGTTTCGTCTCTTGTGAAAATATGTTAGTTTATCATGTTTTAAGAGCCTTCTCAAAAAATCAGTTCAAACAAAATTTTTTAGAGGTCGCTCAAGATTTTTAAAAATTTCCAAAATCGTCAAAAATTGATTTTTTTTCATAAATTTTGTTTCTCGTTATTTTATCATTTTCTAGGTTGAAAAAAATCTCGATTCTGAAAATTTCAAATCGATATTTTGATTTATAAAATTAACTCATAATTATTTTAACTTTCAAAGTAGTGTACCTATGTTTTCGAGCGACCTCTAAAAATATATATCAATGAACTAAACTGTTTTTTTTTTAATTTGATGAACAAAAGAATAGAAATAAATCACGAGACACTTTCAAAAAATTAAAAAATTGTAAATATTTGATACCCACAGTGCGGTAGTAAATTTTGCCTCGAGAAATTTTTTAAGTGTCTCGTGATTTATTTCTATTCTTTTGTTCATCAAATTCAATAAAAAATTTTTTAGTTCGTTTATACTTATTTTTAAAGGTCGCTCGAAACATTTTAGGTACACTACTTTTAAAGTTGAAATAATTATGTGACTTAGAAATTAAAATATCGATTTGAAATTTTCAGAATCGAGATTTTTTTCAACCTAGAAAATGATAAAATAACGAGAAAAAAAATTTATGAAAAAAAATCAATTTTTGACGATTTTGGAAATTTTTAAAAATCTTAAGCCTCTAAAATTTTTTTTTTTTTGAGGGGGCTCTTAAAACATGATAAACTAACATTTTCACAAGAGACACGAAAAAAAATATTCGTTTTTTTTGGGCCAACTAATATCCATATTCAAATGCAATCACAACATCTACCAACATCCAAAGACAACCACAGACCCCTAGGGTCATCCGCAGATATTTGTGGGCATTTATGGACATCTGCGAATATCATCAGATATTCCGTGNTCAATTTAGTATAAAAAAGTCACATTTTCGCACCAACTAAAATTTTAAAAAATTAAAAAATTATAAATATTTGATACTCACAGTGTGGTTGTAAATTTTGTCTCGACAAATTTTGTAAGTGTCTCGTGAGTTATTTCTATTCTTTTGTTCATCAAATTCAATAAAAAAATTTATTAGTTAATTGATATTTATTTTTAGAGGTCGCTCGAAAACATTTTAGGTACGCTACTTTTAAAGTTTAAATAATTATGAGTGACTTAGAAATTAAAATATCGATTTGAAATTTTCAGAATCGAGATTTTTTTCAACCTACAAAATGATAAAATAACGAGAACAAAAATTTAAGAAAAAATTTTAGACGATTTTGGAAATTTTTAAAAATCTTGAGCGACCTCTAAAAATTTTTTTTTGAGCTGATCTTTTGAGGGGGCTCTTAAAACATGATAAACTAACCTATTTTCATAAGAGACACGAAAAAAAAAATATTCGTTTTTTTTAGGCCACCTAATATCCATATTCAAATACAATCACAACATCTACGAACATCCAAAGACAACCACAGACCTCTATGGACATTCGCAGATATTTGTGGGCATTTATGGACATCTGCGAATATCATCAGATATTCCGTGACCATTCAAGGACATTTGTACACATTTATGGACATTTGTACACTACAAAGATATCTGTGGATATACGTGGACAATCATAGAACATTTGTGGATATCAGCGGACTACTGTTTATATTTATGGACATATGTAGACTTGTATGGACATCCACGGACATCTGTGACCATATATGAACATTCCACAGATTGTTAGTAACCCGAAAATGTTCCACGACATCTGTGGACATGCGTAGACTTTCAAGAAATGTCTGTGGACATTTAAGAACATCTGTATAGACATTTATCGACATTTACCGACATCCAAATACATGCAAAATATCCGTGGCTGAATCTTGTTAAGTGTATTCATAATTATATAAAGCTTTCTAGTTTACATTTCTTTACTTTTTTCTGTCTTTTTGCAGTGTTAGCAGTGGGGTAGCAAATCCTAAGTGAAACAGTAGTCCAATATAAGAGCCTTTCTCATACCTTTTTACTCGATGCTGGCGATGCCAAGTAAAGATCTGATCTGCGATCTGTAGCGAGATATTCTCGGAGCAGTTACAAGCAATTAGTATTGTTCTAATTACGAGAGTATGTGGTTATATATTAAGATGTAGAAAATTAAAATTAAATATATTATTTCCACGGGCCATAAAATAGACTAATTGTATAATTCTCGCGAGCTCCTGATGTGAATACGATAAAAGGAAAAAATATCAGTAGATTTAAGGATACCGACGCCATGTTATTATTTTTATAGAGGAGTTTATACATATTTTAATACTGATTAAGTCGGATCGGTACAGCTGTGTAAGATACCTTTTCGTAAGCCATAAACGTACGTTTCAGTTTCATAAATCATTCGTTTGATGTGATATAAATTGTAGCTCATTTTTCATGTCTCCAGTTATTTATGATGGCAGCTTGCAACGTTCCCGTTCGTAAAAAATTGGATATGTGCCTGCTTAGGTAAGGATTGAAGGATTTTACGGAATTATATATAACCTGGGGAAATTTAAATACATAAATAATAAATTTTGCGTTTTTTGTAGGCGCTGAACTTTTCGTTCGTAATAGAATAGATTTTAGTTCGATCTGGTTCTGATTCGAAGATTACAGATATTTTTAGAAATAGGGCACTTTGAGATTTTAGTTGTTTACTGTATACTGGATTTACAGGAATGGTGGAAAACCGTAACTTCCCGAAGAAAATTCTAGGATTTGCAGTGTTTGTTTTGTTGGAGAAGAGAAATCCAATAATCCGCTGAACGGATCTGATAACCACATTACAGTTTCTCTAATATATAGAAAAAAAAAACAAAATCTCAACACACTTTTGCGAGTTTACGATTGTCAACCTCAATCGCAGCTGTATCCACTTTTAAAGATGCAATCTCTCAACATGTATATAGATAATTTTTTAAAAAAGAAAGTTTTTGTAAATAATAACAAATATATTATATTTAAGTAATACAACATAAACATTTGGATACTTAAAATATGAAGAAACAATACTAATGTTTATAAAAATTAGGAATACCTACCTATTCGAAAATTATTTTTTCTAAGTTTTCGGATGAAAATGACAACAATGGCAACCCTAATGAAGCCACTGAAGTATTTAACAAACTTGGTGACTTTGTTAACTTGTTCTAAATAGGTACTGAGGCTAAAGATAAAAACATGAAAATTAAAAAAAATACCTCGCGAGGAAGAAATTGAACATCATCCAATTTAACAAACGGTACAATTTGACTAAACAAGAATAAATTTCCATGAGATTAGAATTAACGCAGATAACATTTTTCCGGAAACGGAGGCACCGATAATTATGATTGTGCTTCTTGATTTATTATTTAATTTAATAACCGTTATTAAGTTCATCATAACAATAACTTATGTATTATGTAAGCAAATCTTTGCCTAACTACATAATTACGATTATGTTATGGATTCTGACTTTGAAGGGGATCCTACGGAATTTTACGTGTTAGGAGCAACGAGGCACTGACTTCTCCTTTTTTTTAAATTAGTACTTAATGATGCGTAAGTATACAAAATCGCAATCCGATTAAAAAAATTTGTCATTAGCGTTTGAAATCTGATTTTAGTCACTAAAAAACCACCTGTAAAAGATCTACAAATCTGCAACTGTTTGAATTTAGAGTCGTTTCAATGACTTTTCGATAATTTGCCTGTTTGGTTTTCAAAATTGTTTTACACCTGAAATACTTGTACAAAAATCGAGTGAAGTTTTTCTGAAAACGAAAAAAAAATACACACTCTGAATGTACTTACTTTTACCGTTCCGCTAGTAATAAATTGCTGCTAATAATAAATTACTACGTTTAACAGTCCATGTGTGTCACAAATATGCAAAGTATTTCCACATTGCCGCAATCTTATTTCTGCTAATTAATATGCAGTCAAGGATATCAGTCATACGAACTTTCAGACGTATCCTAGATCCGTAAAATTCTTAAACTGCTGTTTAGATACTTGTAGAGCAGCTAGCAGCTGCACCGTCGGAAGTTTTATAATTTACGCTATCTCATACGAATATCTCAAAGAGGCAAACTTTAATTTGTATAACAAAAACCAAAATTTAAAATAACTAACACTTTTAACTAACACAAATAAAATACACGAATTAATATAGAACTAAGTAGCCTGAAAACAGATAATTAAATTTTTAGATTTGATTTATACAAAAAAAAAACATGAATTGTATAATACACAAAACACTGCACTATACACTCACTGTATACAGCTGCTGCCATCATATAATGACAACGATGACCAACAATCAAATTATTGTTAGCACGGAAGTGAACCTAACAGAATATTGCATGTCTACCTTATCCACTTTAGGTTGCAGATAAAATACCATAGATAGCGAAATTTATTGATTTCCATTTTAATTTAAATTACATAATTATATTTGTCCTTTATCTTTTGTATCAGAAAATATCGATATTTGAATTAATGATAAGGTAAATCCTACAAATTACTAATAATATCACAATTTATCACCATCAGGATATTGTAGAAATTTATCGCATTGACAATGGGAACTAAATCAGTTTAGAATGTATGTAAAAGATGGCGCCACAAGGAAACGTTAAAAATGAATGCAAAATTTTGAACTAACCTAAAATATACCTACTCTTCAAAAACACTTGTTTATTAAAAAAGCACTTCATTTGTACTAAATAAATATGTTTCCAACTAGTACTCAGTGCAGGTTTTGGATGTTCAGCAGCGAAGAAGAATTAAATAAGTTAAGAGAAAGAGCAAATTTAAAACATATCCAAATATATGGAAGACAGATCAATGTAAGTTTTGAAAAATGTGTAGATACAAAGACCTAATTCAATCCGTTATAAGGACTCGGCGAAATATGAATTCTTTCTCACGCCAGAGGAAGAAAAAGTGATGGTTAAGCGGTACGAATTACATCTAAGGGATTTTTGTAAACGTTTTCAACCGCCCATGCCGAGGTGTGTGGTGGGCACATCTTTTCATTACTTCAAACGATTTTATATAAACAATTCAGTGATGAACTACCACCCAAAAGAAATCATGTAAGTGTTTACAATTGACATAAATCTTCCTTAAATAATGGAGTGTTTGTTTCTTCAGGGTTACTTGCATTTATTTAGCCTGTAAGGTAGAAGAATTCAACGTATCAATCCAACAGTTTGTTAGCAACATTAAAGGCGATAGAGAAAAAGCCACAGACATTATTCTTAACAACGAACTGTTGTTAATGGAACAACTCAATTTTCACTTATCGATTCATAACCCGTATAGACCGGTAGAAGGCTTGCTGATTGATATCAAGGTAAGTAAATTGATTATTTAAATGAACGATATTTTAGTACTGTTTAAGTTAGACCCGGGGATCACTACATGACCCGGAAAGACTCCGTCCTGGAATAGAACATTTTCTGGAAAGAGCGGTACTAACCGATGCTATAATGTTGTATTCTCCCAGCCAAGTAGCACTAGCGGCTGTTCTGCACGCCGCCTCCAAGTTGCAGGAAAATTTAGATTCGTACGTAACAGACATATTATTCGGCGAGGACGGAAAGGGGAAATTGGAGGATTTGATTGAGGCTGTAAGAGGTATGTAAATTTAACATTTTTGCTGTACACTTTTGTAAGCGTGGTGAGTGTTTATATCTAACTTCATACAGGGTCATGTAGGCTCAAAAATTGCGATCTGAAAGATTTTTTGAACAAACGAATAATTGAAAACTCATTTTTTACTTGTTTTCGACTGGACTTTGACCAAAAATATTCCCATTTTATTGAATAATTGTAATAAAAAAGGGTCCTTAGCACCTTAATACAGGGTGTTCCTCATAAGAACCAATACGGAGCAGGGGCATGTAAGGAAACCCAAAATATGGTGATTTAACGCAACTTACCTTTATACTTCACCCACGGAGTTTCCGAATGGACTTTCAGAACACCCTGGATAACAGTTTAAGCAAAGAATTTCCATTTTTTGGCCTAAATTTCCCTAAAACTGTGGGCAATGTCGACAGTTAGACGGACCCTCTTGTTCGATTTTAAACAAGGAATTGTTAATTATGTAGGTTTTTAACACATTTCGATATAAACTGTGTTCTGTTTATGATAAAAATCGTTAATAGCCCAGTTACTGCAGCTGAAAATATAGTAATAGCTCCGAATTTTTTATAACTGCATCAATTTTTTTCAAAATTTAGAATTAGGCTCATCTTACCCCCCACTTCAAAACTTATACTAGCGCTAGGTGTGCTTTTGTTCTTAAGGGGTGAAAACCACCCCTTATTGGAAAAAAAGAAAAAATACAAATTTAAGCATTTTATGTAATCAAATCTTTTTTATTTATGCAGTATGAGTAATTTTCTGTGCTATCTAACATGAAACTTAATGTATCCCAAATTTTTAACCCGGAAAAACCTTTAAAAACCACCCCTTTGGATGAAAATAGTATAACATTTTTTTTCAACTTGAAACGTTTTAATCGTGCATTTTTATCAAATTAAAATTGATTTTTTTATTAAAAAATCTTTTTTATCGATTGCAACTTTTCAGCCCTAGAAAAATACTCCTTCTTTCGAAAATAAAATGAAAAAATATCATTGAAAGAGTAGAAACATTTTAAATGTGCATTCGTATTAAATAATCATGTATTCTCTTATTATAATATAGTAGTTATAATATAGTACTTATAGTACTGGTTTATTCGAATATACACATACTAAATACGTATTGAGATGAAATCAGATTGACGAGAGAATGGTTGAAATGGTTATTACAAAATTTATTATTGATTTGATTATCATGTTATTAAATTGGAGCATAGGCTAAGATATTATCAGAAAAATATAGTTGAAATAAATTNTGACGATAACTTTCTTACTTTTTAAGATTTTTAATCGCACAAAGGCTCATTTTGCAGGGAATTGTAAGGGCTACGTGAACTGTTGAGTTAATCTTTTTTAAGCCCTTCATTTTTAAGCTTGAAGGGTTTAAAGGGCTCGAAAAGGGTGGTTCTCTCATTCATATGATAACTTAAAATGGCGATATCTCGCTTAATATTAATTTTAGAGAAGTTAAATTTTTTTACTCTTGTATTTTTTTGTACACCCTTTAATTTTTACGTTACAGCGTAAGAATCGATTTATTTTCAAAAATTTGAAAAATTAACATTTTCAAGAATTAAGTTTTTTTCTAAATCGTGCTTTGTAAGTGAGCCAATGACCCAGAACATATTCTTAGAACATAAATGAAGAAATCTGTAAATGGATTGCATTTAATTTTAATTCCGTCACCAAAGGCACTGATTTGTTTATTAATTTTTTTCTTAAAAAAATGAGACTATCATGTTACTTCGATCATATTTCCGTTAATTCTAAAGACTTTTAAAACTGCTCATTTTAAAGGTTTTTCAAAGTACTTTAAAAAAGGCCCAAATAGTTTTTTCCTAATATTTATGGTTTTGGCGTTTTTAATGTTAACTGGTTCCAATTTAGTTTTTAGCTAACATATAACAATGTTTAAAAACCCATAATTCAGTTTATATTGCAATTAGATAAAAACAAAATAATACCATTAAATTTGTTTTTTTATTACCTTTCTTTTTATCCATTACAACTTTTTCGTTAAATCCAATGGTTTCAGAGTTATTTGCAAAAAACTGTCCGAAAACGAGCACTACAGTAAAAAATCAACATTTTCAATGACGAATTACTCGGAAAGTATTGGATTATCCAAAAAACTTTATATAACATTTGTTACTTAAAATTGACTCCTCTATCGATTTCTGTAATTATTTTGGTCGTAAAAATTTCCACCCCCAAGGCAAAAGCACACTTCGGCACTATATAAGTTTTGTTTCTTGAGGCATTCCCCACATTGAGTCAAAATTTCACATCAATCAGTTCAGTTCTAAGGAATTCGAAGGTAAAAACCCTGAGTAACTGGACTATAAACATGTTTTAAATCTATCTTGATTCTCTTGAAATTATTTATTAACTAAATTTACTGTGTAATTACAATAAAAAATTGGACTGACTAAAATACAGATGCAATATCATCAATTTGTTCATGAATTATATCATGAATTTTTTTAGTTGTGAAAAACTGCTATAAATGTGTCCAATTTTGATAAAAAAAAAAGTTTGAACTTTATTGTACCAAACCAAAAAAGGTATTTACTTGTAAATAAGGAGTGTTCCAAAATGCGCGCAAGAAGTAATTTTTATAGAATTTTTATGACGTTCTCAGGCATTCGGTCGATGGTTAAAATGGCCGATTCAATTCTAGACAGAAATCAACAAAAGGCGCTTGATAAAAAGCTGGAGAAGTGCAGGAACCCAGAAAATAATCCTGATAGTGAAATGTAAGTTTCAGGCGTTATTAATATCGCATCGCTTCAGCTGAAAGCCTTACAATGAAGCTGCTTAAACTTCGTACAATATTAATACAGTCTCTGTACAAATATGTGTCATGTTTGCAGATATAAAAAAAGGATGCAGGCAATGTTAGATGAAGATGATGACCTCTACCATGCCATTTCCGCCCAAAGGAATTCTTTGGATAATTCTACGCTGAATATGTCTGTACCGGCTTCTCCTGAGGTCGCATAGAATGCATTTGTTGATAAATTTCAAACACAAACAGTTGTTTGATTCAGAGATGCTTTACAAAAGCAAATTATAATAATAATAAGTTTATATATAATATCAAATTTTACTTGAAATTATTTAATTTGATATTTTTGAATGGTTTCTTCTTTTCGGTGTAACAAGAAGTTTTTTTTTTATTACAATATTTAAACCTGTTTATACTATTTGGAAAATTTTTTTAATTGTAGCGTAGAATTAGAGTAGAAAATGTTAGAAATGTCTCCCAAATAAGTTTTTAAAAAACTGGAATGAATATTTTCTATCTAAATCAATTCCTGGAAATTAAAATTAATAATGCATTAACAGTTTTTTTTTCACGTCCTAATAAATGTATTTGCCAAAAAAGTAGCAGGCAAACATTTGTCAATTAAAATTCAACAGTTGGACAAAGGTCTCTAAATTTTGTTAGTCAAACGTAACAAACTGCACTAATGCAGAAACTTAAATGGTCAAAAGTATTTCCGAAATTTTTCCGTGAATTTTGAAATTTTTTTTTTTTTTTCATTTACACGAATTTAAAAAATCAGGAAAAAGGGGTAATTTACGGTTTTTTAGAAAATTGGCGGCTAAATTAGAAATATTCACGAAATGACTAATGTTAAGCATGACTTTTACAGTTCAATGTACTCACAAGAACCCTGTGAAGGGGTTCTCGATTCTCGATCTAGTGTACCATTTCTTTGTTTCAAACAAATTTTTGAAAAAATTAAAGGGTCACGACACTTCATATAAACACGACTAAAATGGAAAAAAAATATTTTGAGATTTTCTCACATTTTTACCACAAATAACGTTTACATTGACGAGAAAAAAAAAATCAAACAATTTTCGAAAAAATTTTTGGAGTTTTTTTTTGTTTTTTTTTTTTTGGAAAACCTTCCGGATATTGAAGAAAACAAAATCCAATTGTTTCCAGCACGATTCAATTTTTTCATCCTATGCTTCTGTTAATCAACTTTTAATTAAACTCAAATTAATGTTGATGACCCAAACCAGATTTCGACCCAGTCATACCGTTTTTTGAGACAAATTACTAATTTATTTTTGTGCGGTCTGTAATCACTTAAAAAACAGTTTTTTTAAAACTACCCTTTTTCTTCGAAAAAGAAGCTTTCTCTCTTTTTTCTTCAACAATTTAAACGTTATTTGCGGTAAAAAATGTGAGAAAACCTCAAATTTTTTTTTTCATTTTAATCATGATTATGAAGTCTTTAAGCTCAAAAAACGTGACCCTTTAATTTTTTTCAAAAGTTTGACTATTTGAAACAAACAAACGGTTCCCTAGATCGAGACAAAACTTCACTGGGTATATCGAACTCTAAAAATCTTGCTTAACATTAGTCATTTCGTGAACATTGCTAATTTAGCCATCAATTTTCTAAAAAACCATAAATTACCCTTTTTTCCTGTTTTTTTTTTAATTCGTGTAAAGTTAAAAAAAAATCCTAAAAGTTGCGGCAGCACGTTATAGGAATTTTATTCGTTTTCGAAACTGCCCTATAATTCTCTGTGACAACCGTAGCTCCCAAAAAATTTCGACCGAAAAATCTAAAAACTACAATCTTAGAGCTTCAAAATGCTTTTTTTTAATTCCCGATACGACCATTTTTCACCTAAATAGTCTGTCAAACATCACGGAAAAATTTCGGAAATTTTGTTGGCTCTTAAATTTTTTACATTAGTTTAATAGTCACAAAGTAAAGCAACTGCAGATATTACCTGTTCTAAAGTAACAGTCCCATATCACAATTCTCAAGTAACAGTTCCAAGAAACTGTTGCAAGATAATGGTGCCAAGGGACAGTTCCGAAGTAACGGTTCCGAGGAACTGCTGCAAGGTCATGGTTTTCAAAGTAATACTTCCAAAGTGACGGTTCTAAGGAACGATTCCAAAGTAACAGTTCTAATATGATAGTTGCAAAGTGACGGTTATAGAAAGAATGCTCGGTTTCAATGTAGTTTTCCCAAACAATTGTTCCCAAGTAATAGTTTCGAAGTAACGGTTCCAAGGAACAGTTCCAAAATAATGGTTACACAATAACGGTTCCAAGGAGTATTCCAAAGTAACTGTTCCAAGAAATGGTACCAAAGTAACTGTTGTAAAGTAACTGTTTATAACGATTACAGTAATTGATTACAAAGTAACCGGTACTGGTTACAAAGTAACATGTAGCTGTAACAGTCTATTTCGGTCGTCCATACAGTTTTCTGATTTCAAAATATTATACAAGCATTTTTCAAATTAGTTTTCCATTTACATGGCATTTTGTCCTTTTTCTTGTCTTCTCTCCTTGTTTTGTCTTGTCTGTCTTTAGTTTTTTCATTTCATGTCGACTGTTTCGTTTTGTCTTTGACTTTTATTTATTGTACTCTATTCAATTATCTGCCTCTTATCTGATCTATACCGGGTGTCTCAGAATATATGGGCAATCTCTCGGATTGTTATTTCCTATCTTTAGTTTTGTTTGTTCTCTACTCAACTGTCTGGTTATTATCATATCTCTTATCACGTCTGTCTGTTGTATTCCCTTTTTTTTTTTTGTTTTGTTTAGGTATCTGTTGTTTTTTATATATATTGTCCTGCCTTTTATTGTTTTCATTACTACAAATTATATGAAATAATTTACCAGATTTCCAAAAAATGAAACATTTCAATTCTTGCAAGCGTCATCTAGTATTGCTTACTGCTACTATCGTATTGCTGACAAGACTACAGATAACTGTAATGTAGTAGTTCAGATTTTTACCATTGCTTGTCTCTCTAACAGTTTTAAAATTTCAAATCATTTCTTACAGAAATTTTTGAATTCAAAACCAGAAACAAGTGATTTAAATAAAACTAGAGCAACTAAGATTTATATTTATTAAATAAAATATTTCAATATAAACGGCCTATCAGAAAAATATATCCTAAATTAGTATAAATAAAGTTTACTTTCACAATCTTAAGGATTCCCGAGATGTCTGCCGAAGTTCTGCAGTTGCAGTATTGGGGGAGTTTCGTTAGGTTGTTCCTGATGCGGATAATCTACGTAGTTCTGCATACACGGCCTCGTGTGGCTACCAACCGGCATTTGGGGGACTAGTGGCGAATTGGGGGGTAGGGGTAACATATTCGGCGGTACTAAAGGGGCTGTACTTGAGAGACCTGGCTGACCGGGATAGTTGAAAAACCTAGAAAAATAGAGATGTGGTCAAATAGCAGCTTAATGCTCAAATAGCAAACGTGATCTATGATGAAATTGCAGCTGCAGTTGCCTTAATGTGGCATCATATTCGTACGATTTGTAAATTTTGAAACTAACTTTTATTCTGACAAAAAAAATTAAAAAATACGTTGCTTTGTATACAATACAAAGGGTTAGATTAGCGTAAAACTGAAGTTTGTTAATTTACGAAAAATAATGTGTTTTCTTAGAAAAAGCAACATAATTTTTTCTAATAAATTCGTTATACATTTTTCCTTGTGCCAATTTTAAACAGGATCATTAATTGAAACTTATCATATATTGGCCTCAAAGTTGGCCCTTTTAGAAATATGCCCTTATGTCTACTAACTGCTGATGCTACAAAGTTTTGGGAAAATAATCAAAACTGGTTACTAACCACAATCTGTCCCCTAAGAATATGGGCCTAGGCGTTAAAATACCCATGGAACTATAATATTGTTGAGCTAATATTTCAATATCGTTCGTGTATTTCCTTTTCCATTTGGTCCTCCTATTTTGAAACCATATTTTTATCTGGAACGAAAAATAAGGACATATGAAGCAATAACCTAACGACAGGTTCTTATTTACTTGATTTTAGGAAAAGGAATTTCTAAACTTATAATTGAAATAGTCAAAAATATACTTTAGATACCTGAGTTTCAGTCAGTTTCAAAGTTTTTGACAGCTGACATCGTTTCGCCACCGATAAGTATTTGTTTCTTTCAAATTCTGCTTCTAAGGACTTTATTTGCGATGCCGTGAAAGCGGTCCGAGGTCGTTTTTTCCTTTCATCGTCGGATTTGCTCGAATATGAAAAATCTGTAACAAATGATAAAAAAAATTAAGTTTCAAATATACGATGTGCAATATCTAAAAATCTCTTGGGAGCGTATAGGAAATATCAAAATAACACTACTATTTCCTTTAATTTTTTTCTAATGTTCCTCTTAACGTAGATATCAGACTCCAAATAGTAGCCAGAGATTTACTTTTTGAGTTTTAACTTTAAAATCACCTTGTACGATAGGGTATTACTGATATGTGTTACGTGATTTGATGTTAAAACTGGTCTTTGTCATTACAAAGTATCAAGAGACGGACTGGCCCCAACATCTGTCAAAATAAGTGTTGGGGCTAGTCCGTTTCTGGATAGCTTTAATGCAAAAGATCAATTTTAACACCAAATTATGAAGCTTTATTTGCAATACGCTGTACAAAAATTTTATTAAAATATACAAGGTAGTTTTAAAATTAGAACCCAAAACGTAAATCTCTGAGTACCACTTTGAGAAACATTAGGAAAAAAATATATAGGAAGTCCTAGTATATTCAGGAAAAGCGACTAATAAGAAAGTGTTGCTAAGAAACTCTGTATTATAATAGCAATTTTTCATGTTAAAATTAGGTAAAATGTCATATACCAAGCTTAGTAAAAATTATTTTGCCAATACGGTTTTACTACTTTCAGTCGATGTTTTAGTAGAACAAGATTACCTATCAACGGTAAAAATAATTTACCTATGACTAAAAGAATCAAAGTAAACAGTTATGGCAAAAAATGACTTATTAACGTCTAAGTCTTTTATTTGAAGTAAACAGTTATCATTGTATCTACAATGCGAAATATCCATCCGAGAACTCAAAAGCATTTTGCGTTCGAGATGCAAGCAATATTTTTTTGAAAACTGCAATAAAATAAGACAATTGTGTTAGCCATACATTATTTAAAAAATAATTATTTCTGACTAAACTACGCAGAATTCGAAAAAAAAAGTAGAAATTTTTTCTTCAAAAAAGTCTAATTTATTAAAAAATATTATTTGCTTGATAATTCAAAGGAATAAAAAAAAAATGGAAAATTTTCTGTTAAGAGTAGTTACAAAACTATCCTTATTTATAACCGATTTTCATTAAACTGATTGTAGTTAAAGACCCCTATAGTATGATTATTACCTACAATTTTCATTCCGTTATTTTATTCAGAAAGAAAATTATTTAAAAAAATATCCAAATGATAAGACCCCTTTGGAGGGCCATATCTCGGTAACGGTGATCCGGAGGATCAATGTTTATAGGAACTATTTTTACTATTTTTGGCCCTATTGTAGTATTACAACCCCGGGTTCGATAGAAAAAAATAAACGTAATTGTGGCCAAAAATATGTGATCGTCATAAGGAATACCTACGTTGTATACATCCATTTTTAATTGACCGAAAGGCGCTGGCTACTAACTTTAAAGAGGGGAAATATGGTTTAATTTTATAAAACAAAAGCAGAGTAAATACACCTAACTTTATTATTTACGTACAACAGTCTTCAAATTAAACATGTAACAAATAGAAAGTACAACAAAAACATTAACAATAATTTAACATAAAATGAGACTGCCAGGCTCACCTAGAACTCCTGTGGGGAAAGAGCATGGCAGAGAAACCCACGATCGTTGCTCTAACTACCCAAATATAAATATAAAACAACCGCTAACCAAAGGCATAAATTAAGATCCTTTGCTACTGATAAATAACACCCGACTCATTTAATGTCTCACTAAATATCACCTCGCTCGAATTAGACATACACACTTCCAAGTAAAACTGAAGAGGTTTGGTGTTAGTTAGCGGGCAGGGCCGGAAGGTACTGGAGTCCGATACGGGAGGCAATCCAGCTATGAGTTGAGATTTCGGAAGATCTGTTTTAGCAATTCTTTTTTTGTATTTAATTATTCTTTTTTTTCATATTCATTCCTCACGGGCGAAAATGTTAGCAAATTCAACAAGGCTCTTACATGCGTATGACATAAAGTGAGCACAAGAAATGCTTTATTATTTGTTTTTCGAACAATGTAATCATAACAAGTTAAATGTGAAACAAAGGAGTTGTTATTGCAATATCTGGGCAGTCACGACAATATGTATAGATTTTAACATGTAATAAATAATGATCAATAGCCAATAATAATTATTGTAACAATTTTACCTTAGAAAAATATATGTCCTTGAGCATAAAGCAATGGAAGCTAAACATACAAAGGATTATTATCATTAAACATCTATAATCATAACAATCATAAGATTACATAGAACAATTAACAACAAAGTACTTAGAGAATATTACCTGATAATTAATACGGGTTAAACACTTTGATTTTTCACTATTTTTCCTCACTGCCCGCCGATCGTCTTACTCCCATCTCCACACTGTTCTCACTTCAACTCTTTAGGCTTCCTTCCAGAATTCCCCACCTAAGCGCTTCTTTTTGTACTTCCTCCTACCAACTGTCAATATTACGCTTTCATTATTGTGCAACACCCATGTAACAGGTGACGTCGAAATTGATACAATAAATATGGTTTTGTACACTATTTTCACCCCCTTAAATTTTGTACCAACTTTTTCAAACACCCTGTATATTGTAATTCATATTCTAAGCTACGATAACTGACAGCACTGGATCTGACAAATTTAACTCCTACAATATTGCCACTTTAAATTTACACATAGTGCAAAATAAATCGTAATCGTCCTGTTTATAATAGTTACTGTTTTGTATTGACATGTTATATTATTTAGAACGTATATTGTTTAATTAGTAAAATCATAAATAAGAAGACAAAAAATGACAAAATTATTTTGACATTTGTTTTATGTTCTAGAACGAAAAAGACTGGCGTTCTAGAACATAAAATATTTTACAGCTAAAGACTAATTTTGTCAACTGAAAATTTCACGAAAATGTCTACTTTTGATGACAGTTTTCGAAAAAATTTTTCTCTTAGGCTTCTTTAACAAAATACTTAGGTACTTTTTATTGTGACAGTAGCGTGTAACCTTCTGGAGCCTATTTAAATGAGATATTTTGTTAGGGTTAATCAATTTCTGGGCGCAAAAACGTCAAATTGACGCGAGTTTAATGAGCTTCGAGGAGATTTTATAACTCGTAAAACAATTAAGTGTAATTATGAGAGAGGTAGATCCTCGTATTTCTCTCCTCGTGGATATACATCACAGTTTAATTGGAAACCGGAAATTGTTTATTATATTAAGACGTATAGCTACAACTAAGGCCTTCATGAAAGCAACGGGGCCTCAAATTTTACACCAAACAGTTGTTTTTAATTTGCCGTGGCGAAATTTATGTTTCCAATGTCGGGTGGGAAGTGCAGACACGTTGTGAAGACGCTAATTTGCGCCAGAGACAAAATTAGATTTTAAACGGCTAACGATCTAGAGAGCGTTGAAAAATGATACAAAAAACAAACGCCGCTATCTCGCGGCAATATATTATCAACTAACATGACGGTTAACCTTAAATCCAACATTATTTAGGGGCACTTTTGCCTGAAACGATTAGAGGCATATAACTGACATTAATTTCAGTTATAAATGACATATAAGAATTCTTAAGCACTAAATTAAATTCAGTAAAACTTTGAACGCTTCAAATGAATTTACGACAGCTCAAGTATTTAGGTACACTATTTTAATTGGTTTGAAAATTGCTACATTCTCTTTAGAACTGTCCCCTCTTCAAATAATGGTCGAGATAATGACTTTGCAATGAGAGGCTGCCAGGAAAGATTTAATATCGAGCGGTCGATGAAAACTGGACACGGGGACCATCTGTGCGATATGCAAGACGAATTTCAGTGCCTAACATTCACCAATCCATAGTATATTTCATTAGCAGTCTGGAAATAAGGATTTTTATCTGCTCCCACTATTATAGTAAATACACTATTAATACATTGTTTCTAAGGAGATAAGTGGATTTTACCGTAAACTGTCAGCAACATAACTTTCTGCAATTGTGGCTGATTTCCACCCATCCATCTCTCTTGATTGCTAATACATCAACTCCTGTATTAGCCAGTAACGTTGTCGATGTTCTTCGGAATGAATGACCTGTATATGTTTCAGGATGTTCTAGTTTCAGAAACTGTAAAATCTTATTAGGAATCATAGAAAGGGTATTCTTGCCGACTGGTTGATTGTAACATCTACCTGCTTGATAGCGCATAAAAAAGCGTGAAATTTCAGTTTTAATTTCCAATCTAATCTTGATATATTTCTTGAGAATTTCTAGGTGAGAAACAGAACCCAGATGAGAAATAATTGTAAACGTACGTGACACACCATTTTTAGAATCTGGAATTGTAACTACAATAATGCCGTCGAAATTTTTGAAGTTGACGTTGTCCAAAGTAAGTTATTATCCTTTTGGAGTTTCATTTTGTGAAACTGCAGTTACTGACTCTTCGCAAATGTTTTGATTTTCTCAAACGACTGATATAGTTGTTGTATCTTGCGAGTGAGAAGGGTTAAAAAGTTTTCGTGATACCTCAATTTTTCTTTGTGTGGATTCTTCTATATTTCCTTCTACTACATTGGAAGAACGCCATCCTCCGTGTCTTTTCAGAGTTAGTAAATCAGCGCCGCTCTTCACCAACATGGTTGCCGAGGAACGCCTTTGTCCATGTTCAGTATATTTTCTGAAATTTCTAGTTTTAGATATTCTGCTACAATTTTCGGAACACCACTGAAGGTATGGCATCCAACGTGTTGTGCGTAACACCTGCCGTTTGGTGTCGTCTTTGCGGCTCGACGTTAGGAAATTCAAAAGGTGGGTGAAAATTTTCAGAAGGTCGGCGATTTTCTTAATTCGCCGTCTCAAGATGGGTGATGATTTTATTGTCATATCCAAACCAAAATTTAAAATGTCGTATGTCGTCGTGAGCAGAATTGAAAAAAAATTAAAATGAGGTGTCACTCAACATAAGGTGCCATTTAAAGTTTAAGGGTATTTTACGCCTCTGCCTA